CTCACACAAAACACCTGGTATAGTTCCTAGAAGATAATAGAGATTTGATAAAGAGCAGCTATACTAATAATAATGGTGATGTAACCAAAACAATGGTACTTTCAGTGGTGAGTGATACAATAGTAGCTACAAGGGAGCTCAAAAACCAGATTGTGTTGTGTTGAGAAGTGAAATGTTGGGGAAGTTTTTCTCTTTTGTATTTTTTTCAAAAAGCTTTGCCTCTATGGGAAGGAAGGTGTGATGGAGTCATTTCTGTTAATAAAAAGCCATCAATCAACCTATTGAGACTATTGAGAAAATAATTTCAGTAGAGAAGTAGGGCAGACACTGTACTTAAAGGAGCTTTGTATGAGTAAGATTTGAAGAAGATGATATAGTGAATGTAGCCTTTAGAAAATTTTGAAAACAAAAGGAAGAGAAGGTGGATGCACGTCTTTATTATTTTGGTTATTTAAAGGAATATAAGTTTAAACATTGAAACCTGAATCCATATAAATTGAAAAATAGAAACTCTCTTATTATTTTGGTTATTTAAAGGAATATAATTTAAACATTGAAACCTGAATCCATATAAATTGAAAAATAGAAACTCTCCCGAGGATATATCCTTGTACCTCACTTAACTACATCTCAATTATACTTATAAAGAGCCAAATTAACCCTAAATTTAAGTTTCCACATATGCATATGTGAGTCATTCACAGGCTTAAAGATTTTTTTCTTATTACTAAAATTTATGAAAATTTTTTATGAGGCTTAGAACTGGACACAATAGTTCATAAAGCCTTTGACCAATACTGAGGAAAATATGAAGATAGTGTTTGTATTTCTGCCAATGCTCTTTAAAGAAATTTGAAACCCAGAGTGGTTAAAAGACTTTTTAGTTCACAGATGATATCCTCTAGGATGAAAATTTGTGCCTCCTAAATGTTGTATGATGTTCTTTCTACTATATCTTAAACACAAAACAAACACAAAACTTTTTATCAGTATGTAAAGAAGTAGTATTTAAAAATCTGATAAAAGGTAATTATTTGTATTATAGCACATTCATCTCAAGAATTATTTAATTGCAAGCTAGGGTTATAGATTTAAGTTTTTATATAAATTGTGAATTTACACTTTAAGTTCACAAATAACTTTAGGAAAATATTTAATTTGTAAATTAATATCTGTATTATATTTTAATAATTGATTTAGAAATGCTAGATTGCTTAGCTATTGACTTACTGTAATCTCTGGAACCTTTAGATGTATACTACTTATACTAGTTATTGCTTATTAAGTAATTTTTCTGTGCTCTGGCTAAGCTCTTTGTGTTGATGATCTTTACAGAAATTGTATGAGGTAAGTATTCTCATTTGCTGAAGCTGAACTGAGAGATGTTATCAACTTGGAAGGCTGCATGCACTTGTAATAAATGTGGTGGAGCTAAAATTTAACTCAAAACAGTTTGCTCTCGTTGTCTGTGCTTTAGCAAATATCTTGTTTATTATTATTTTAAACTTTTCTTCTTTTTGTTTATCATAATATAGTTTTTAATCTTATTTTGATTTTATTTGTTTTATTTTTTATTTAAATATATAGGCATATCCTCATATTCAATGAGTGTGATTTTTATCGAATCATTGATTGATTGGTCATTGATAAGGATGTTAAAATGTCCTCCAGTCAAGAATTGACCTTATGGAATACTCCTTATGATTCTATACCAGGTTGATGTGGAATGCTTGGTAAATTTGGGGGGCGGATGCTATTTTATATTTAAATTCAGAAAATGTTGAATATAACCAATATGACTACTTTGTTAGGTACTAGAAACTTTTTGGAGTAGTGATAATACAAGGCATTTGTGAGTGGCAAGTGGCTAAAAATTGAGAAATCTTAGATATTTTATTTTATTTTACTTTTTAAGAATTGATTTTAGAGAAAGGAAAGGAGAGAGAAACATTAATGTGAGAGAGAAGCATTGCTTGGCTGCCTCCTGCACACGCCCCAACCAGGGATTGAACTAGCAGCCTCGGTATGTGCCCTGACTGGTGTATGGGACAACACTCAACCCAACTGAGCCACACCGGCCACGGAAAATATTAGATATTTTAAATTGAGATTACTAGAATATTCCATAACACTTTACCAAGAATAGATTTAGATTGTATTGCTAGCTATTTTTAATGATTGATTTGTAACTCTTATTGGGGTGACATTGGTTAATAAAATTATAGCAGTTTCAAGTGTACAGTTCTATAACATGTCATCTATATATTGTATTGTATGTTCACCACCCAAAGTCAAGTCTCCTTCCCTCACCATTTATCCTATACCCTTTTCTACCTCCCCCTCTTCCCTTTTCCTACTGTAATCACCATACTGTCTTTGTTACCTGCTTTTCCTTTGAAAGGGATAAAACTGTTTTCTCCCCTCCCTGGCTCTTCTATATAATTTCCCCCCACCTTGTCTACCTAAATTTAAATTTAGAAACTATTATGCCAAGTCTCTTTTATGGAATGCTAGACAGGGTGTTCTTTGCTTACTAGTTAGTTATAGACCTCACCTTTCAGAGTACATGAGTGATGTTAAAAATGTGCTTTGGTTGGTTTTCACAGGGTAAATGCACATTCAGAGGAAGCAGTTTCAAGCCTTTGTTCAAGAAGTGAAAAGATAGTAGTTACTTTTAATACAATCTAATGCATGTTAAACTTTGGAAGAAAATGTCATTTTTTTTTAAGTTGTGGTTTTATTTGAAAATCAGCTAAAAATGATTTATAGTATTTGATATCTTGTTTTTAAAAATTAATTTAAATGACCAAATCTTAATATGATTTTATTGATCTTAGTACCTTTGTAGCATTTAATGGGTTTCCTAATGTGCAACTACCTTTTAAGGTGTTCCCTGGTGATTATTAAGTGACCAGCTAATTTGTAGGAGATGTTAGGATACAATTAGTCCAGGTAAAATCTGAAAATTTCTATGTAAATTGCATGGAAAATAGCCAAATATAAAGACAGTTCCATTTATATAATGATGACATGCTTGTAATTTATTATTGCCGTGGCTAGGTTAGAGACTACATTAAGAATCAGTGAAGCCCTGGCCGGTTTGGCTCAGCGGTTAGAGCGTCCGCCTGCGGTCCGGAGAGACCCGGGTTCGGTTCCCGCTAAGGGCATGTACCTTGGTTGCAGTTTGTCCCCGGCCCTGGTTGGTTGTGCGGGTGGCAGCCACTCGATGTGTCCCTTTCACATCGATGTTTCTCTCTCTCTCTCTTCCTCTCTCTCCCTCCCACTCTGTCTATACAAAAAAAAAAAAAAAATGGAAAAATGTCCTCGGGTGAGGATAAAAAAACAAACAAACAAAAAAAAAGAATCAGTGAAAAACTAGTTGGTCCCAGTAATTACAGCTCATTGGTCATTTGAAAATACTTAATTGCATGAAAACACTGTCATCTGAAATAATATGTATTCAATAAATATGAGCTATCAATTTACAGATATTATCTTATTTAACCTTCATAACAATTCTGAGTTAAGAATAGACTTAGTGAAGTTAACCCATCTGAGGTAATGTAGCAACAGCCAGGATTCTAACCAAACCTTTCTGACCACAGGGCCCAGATTACTAACTAGTAGGTTAGTAATGGTACCTAATAGTAAAGAATATTTTTTTCAGCATTTCTATGACTACTTTAATTACTTCATAAATTATTTGATAAGTCCAGAAGATACTTACTCACTCATTTCTTTGAGTTAACATTGTTTTTATCTTCACTAATTCTGGTAAACATCCTTTCTTTTTCATAAGTTAAGCAGGATTACTATAAAAGACAACACAACACATCTGATGTCACAACGCATCTGAAATCTGATGCAAAGCTGTACTTTTGATTGCAGTGAACTTTTCATGAAAAATCTTTAACTGTCAATTAAAGTCCAAATCTAAAGTATTTTGCTTGTGGAAGTGTGCATTTTTACCAATCATGTCAATTAAAATTTAACTTCTTGAGTTTCAGCCTACTATTTCAAGATTTGCAATAATTTAATGTGATATGTAGAATTAAAAAGCTTAAAGTGCTTCTTTACCTGAGATGTTACCATCAACATTCAAGTAAGGTATTGGTGGGAATGGGGAATGATAGAACTGAATTTATGTTATCGAGTTAGGGGATCATAAAACCTTCTGTAAAGGGCCAGATAGTAAATATAGTGAATGGCTTTGAGAGCCATATGGTCTCTGTTACAACTACTCAACTCTTAAAGCAGCCACAGACAATATGTAAACAAAAGAGCATTATTGTGTTTCAATAAAACTACGAAAAGAGGCAGCAGCCTGGATGTGGCACATTTACCAACTCGTTACAGAAGATCTTGTAATTTCTGCAACTAAATATAAGATTTATTTATGGTAATACATTATTTATGCTGCATGGGAATTTTCCTTTATTGAATGTATTGGGGGGAAAAAAACTTACTAAGAAGATAGCAGTAGTATAAAGGAGAATGGGCATGGTACCTAATAGTAAAGAATATTTTTTTCAGCATTTCTGTGACTACTTTAATTACTTCATAAATTATTTGATAAATCCAGAAGATACTTACTCACTCATTTCTTTGAGTTAACATTGTTTTTATCTTCACTAATTCTGGTAAACATCCTTTCTTTTTCATAAGTTAAGAAGGATTACTATAAAAGACAACACAACACATAATTGGGTGACGATTTTATTTTATTTGAATTTATTTTGAAAAAATGATATCAGTAGATAGACTGAGATCAGGCTTGTGTAAATATATGCAGTTGACTTGTAGGTTCAGAAATGGAGTACTCTGTTATAGTCAGTTTTCAATGTTAAATTTTATAGATTTCTTTTTACAAACATTTTTGGCCCTACAGATGCCTTTTGGTGGCACAAAACTAAATTAAATGTTGAGTAATACTTGCAGTATTGGCTAATGTGGTATATTGGATATTAAATGTAATATATACTTTTTATTCTTATTCTCAGAGATTCGTCAGCGAACGGCAGCTCAAAGAAACCTTTCTCCAACACCAGCAAGGTCTAGCCAAGGCCCTACTCCACAAGTTCCAGTATCTCCTGGACCAGGAAAGGACACTTCAGCCCCTGGTGGACCCCCGGAAAAAAATGTTACTGCAGTTCTATCATCAAATGTATTACCAAGACGTCTTGGATCCCCTGCTACTTCAGTGCCTGGAATGGGTAAACAGAGCACTTAATGTTATTTACAGTTTATATTGTTTTCTCTGGTTACCAATAAAACGGGCCATTTTCAGACAGTATGGAAATGGCATTTCATTTGGAAATAGCAGAGCAGTTATCTGATTAAGCAGGAGTTCCATATTCAATTAGCCATAACTCTTTACAGCTGGCACCTTGTGATACTGAAACCTATTTCTTGAGCTCATTTAACTGTTATGGCTTCTTTGTTTAAATGGCAATAAAACTTTGTAGTATTCTGTAGTCAACAGTATAGCATATCTTTTTATATTCAGCTTTAGAATGACTCCAGATTTATTTAAAATGGGGATAGAAGAGAACACTTGGAATATGCTTTTTGCTACACCCTTCACATACATTTTAAAACATGACAATTAACATATTTCAAGGAGAATATTTTTTTATCGTGGTATATAATACTACTATTGTTAATATGGACTGGTATTAATGTTTTCTTTTTTTAAGCCAAAAGAACCTTAGTATTTTCTGACAGATACTTTAGCATAAAGTCCTATTAAATTAACATATTTTCTTTATTACTATTTCATTCCTTTGGATTCTCCTTTTTTTAGTGTGGCATATCACTAGGTGAAGATCTTACTTTCAGAGCCTAATAGATTATATTACCCTGCAGTTTTCATTTGGGGTGTGATTGGGATTTGGCAGTACACTGCTTTAGCAGATCACATTATTTTATGTAGATTTCCATGTAAGTCTTGAATATGATTGTAAATTATCTTATTTTAGGATATTTAATTCTAATTTAAATTATTTTGGTATTTTTATGACTAATTACTATCGTAATTTATAATTTTAAGGCTAGACAGTAGTTAATATCAGGTATTCAGGACACTTATGTAATAAAATCAATAAGCAATCTAAATGTTAATATTACAGTAGATTGTTTTTCCTGCTATTCCTTCAAAAAAGCAGCATAAGATTTTAGAAAACTATTAATTTATAAACATTAAGAAATCTGGCTGAAAATTAAATGTATGCAAATCATATTTTTAAAAACAGTTATTAAATTTTTTTTTGTTTATCCTCACTTGAGGATATTTTTTTTCTCACTGATTTTGAGAAAGTAGAAGGGAGAGAAGGAGGGGGAGAGAGGAAGAATGAGAGCAAGAGTGAGAGAGCGAGAGAGTGAGAAACATTGATGTGTTGCCTCCCTTACATACCCCGACCACGGAGGCCCAGGGATTGAACCTGCAACCCAGGTGTGTACCTTTCTGGGTACTGAACCTGAGATCCTACCATGCAAGGGCTGATGCTCAGACACTGAGTACACCAGCCAGGGCTAAAACAGTTATTGAAAAAATACTGTTAGACTTGACATAAAATTATGTTTCTTAAGGTAGACATATATTTTGTGAAATTGAGAAAAATTAAATTGATTGAAAATTATTCATATTTCAATTGTTATCTGACTGATTTGAGATACCCATGATTCGTAAAGTTCTGTTTAATGAAATAACTTTTTGTGAGAATGTATTATATACAGTTGTGTATCGAACTAGTTTTAAAGAAATAAAAGTTTAGCAACTTACATAAAGTAATAAAAATTGTGTTTGCACATGTAAGAATAGAGTTTGAAGGAGTAATGACTTAAATTTTGTGATCATGTCAATATAACATATTTTACTAAAGTTTTTAATTAGTTTCTGTGTAAATGACTGTATTTAGGTTGTACATTGCCAAAAATATGAATGAGTTAAGTGATTTCTTACAGAGAAGATTAATAATTCATTTTTTCATTATGCCATATTTGTGGAAGAGAATCAATTTAATGTGTATTACCACAGGGCTTCCATATGTTTGAAAATTAATAACCAGCAGGTAGTTGATAATTTGCCAAGCTATATAAAAATGACCACTATTCCTACAATGATTGTGCTTGATGTTTGTATTAATTACTGTTGTCCTTACCAGTATGAATATGAAGATATGTTATTTTTCAAGTTACTAAGTATGTAAGGGTTTTAAGATATTTTTATCAAATCTGTTGTTTTATTTATTCAGATTCCCTTAGTGGGAACTGAACCCGAGATTCTCTGGTCTGCAGGCCGGCACTCTAACTGCTGAGCCAAACTGGCCAGCACTTGTTAAAAATATTTACATCAATTTTCCTTGTGGATATAGGTCAATAGTGTTTTTTTCTTCCTTGTAATTTTTTTTGTATCAATGTAATGCTGGCCTTTATGAAAAGTATTCCCTTGTCTTCAGATTTATGGACAAGTTTGTATAGAATTGGTATCATATTTTTCTTAAATGTTTGTTAGAATTTACAGGTTGAAACATCTTGGCCTAGTGTTTATTTGTAGAAGAGTTGTTTTTGAATTAAAATTTTAATTTTTTAAAAAGAAAATGACAGACGAATATCCCTTATGAACATAGATGCAAAAATTCTTAGCAAAGTTTTAGCAAATTGAATAGTTATCTATATCTTCTTGCATGAGCTGTGGTAATTTTGTAATCTTTCAAGGAATCTGTGTCATCTAACATAAAATTATTTGGCATAAACTTACTCATAATATACCCTTATTATCTTTTTAATATCTTTACAATTTAGATTTATGCCATTTCTCTCATTCTTTATATAAGTATTTTGTTTCTTCCCTCTTTCTTTTTCTGATTACCAATTTTATTGATCTTCTCAAATAACCAGCTTTTTCCATTATTCTTGTGTTTTTTAATTTATTTGTTTTCTCTCTGATCTTTGTTTCTTTTATTCTGTTTACATTAGGTTTTATTTGCTGTTCACTTTTAGTTTCTTAAGTGGAAGCGGAATTCATGGATTTTAGACCTGTCTTTTGTAGGTGTTTAGTGTTATAGGTATTTAGTGTTACAAAGATTTCTGCTTAGCTGCATATTATAATTTGATGTTTTTGTTTTTTTTTATCCTCACCCAAGGACATTTTTCCATTTTTTGTACAGATAGAGTGGGAGGGAGAGAGAGGAAGGGAGAGAGAGAGAGAAACATCGATATGAAGGGACACATCGAGTGGCTGCCACCCGCACGACCAACCAGGGCCGGGGACAAACTGCAACCGAAGTACGTGCCCTTAGCGGGAACCGAACCCAGGTCTCTGCGGACCGCAGGCCGACGCTCTAACCGCTGAGCCAAACTGGCCAGGGCTAATTTGATGTTTTTAAATATTTTATTTATTTAAAAATACTTTGTAATTTCCCTTTGTACTCTGGATTATTTAGATGTATATTATTTCATCTCCTAATATTTGAAGATTTTTCTGATGTCTTTCTGTTGCTGATTTTTAATTTAATTCTATTATGGCCAAAAATATATTTTGTATTACTTGAATCTTCTTAAATGTATTGAGATTTGTCATCTGTCTTAGAATATCTATCATCTGTTTGGGTAAATGTTTTATTTTCACTTGAAAAGAATATATAGTCATGTGCCACATAATAATGTTTTGGTCAACGATGGACCACATATGCGATGGTGGTCCTATAAGATTATAATGGAGATGAATTTCCTGTAAGAAATGGGAGGATATTTGGTTCAGGAGAAAATTGTTTTCTTCGATGGGAACAATATCTGTTGGTCTTGGCAATAGATGCCCTCTCACTCTGAGAACCTCAGTTTTGAGTGTACAGATTATATTTCAGTCAGCCACTGACCTGTTTCAGCACAGAGTAGCTGTTTTCCCTAGCACTGTGTATTCAAAGGGTACCACAGCTCTCCCAGATCTACCTGATGGTGTTCAGAATACATTGCTATAAATTCTTTGTTGAAGAACTAAGATCCTGTACAAAGACACAGGTCCACAGGAGCTACCTTAAAAAGTATGAAGTGCTGCTGCCACTTGAGTAAAAGCTTTCTGTGATAGTGTGGAGCCAATCTGTTCCTGAACTTTGGAAATATCTTCAGGTCGTAATGGTGTAAAGCACAGATAAGTTTTATTTCTTCCATCAGTTCAATGCCACATAGGGTCAATGGAACCAAAAACAAATTTCCAAAGTAAAATTACTTCCTCAATTCTACACTCTCTCCATGTTTAACATTCTATTTTTTAAGTGAATACCACAAAGTTCCTTAATTTGACCACTGCTCTAACATGCAGTAGCCAAAACATTGTTATGACAATCCTTTAAATTCCTTTATTTCTTCATCTGATTTCTTATTTTTACTGATACTCAGGCCACCTTTCACTCCCTCCAAACAGTCACTATTATGCTGATCTCCTCGATATTTCCAATCAGTCAAGCCTATATCCCTGTTCATGGAGAAGCATTGACCTCTTCAGTGGTCTATTTCTGACCCTATTTGAAGGAAGCAGGGGGAGGGCTTGAGGAACAGTGTTTATAAAGTCTACATTTGTATACAGTAATATTCTAAGCCTTCACATCCACTCACCACTCACTCACTGACTCACCCAGTTCAATTTCCAGTTCTGCAAGCTCCATTCATGGTAAGTGCCCTATACAGGTGTGCCATTTCTTATGTTTTATACCATATTTCTCCTTTAGTTTTTCTATATTTAGTTACACAAATACCATTGTGTTATACTTGCCTATGGTATTCAGTACAGCAATGTGCTGTGCATGTTTGTAGCCTAGGAACAATAGGCCATATTATACCATATAGCTTAAGTTAGTAGGCTATATACTGTCTAGGTTTGTATAAGTGTATTCAATGATATTTGCACAATGATGAAATCGCCTGATGATGTAGTTTTCAGAACATATTCCTGTCATTAAGCAATGCATAACTATATGCTGTTTCTGTTGGGTAGAGTGGCTATACATGTCAATTAGGTCAAGTTGGTAGTAGATAGTGTTATTCTATATGATCACTATATTACTGATTTGCTGTCTGTTTATTCTGTCAATTATTGAGATAAGGCTGTTGAAATCTCCAACTATAATTGTTTATTTGTTTATTTTTGTAATTCTATTTATAGTTATTGCTTTATGTGTTTTAAAGCTCTGTTATGATGCACATATATATTTAGGATTGCTATGCCCTGTTGGTGAATTGACTCCTTTGTCATTATGAAATTACTCTTTTCATCCATGAAAATATTCTTTGCTCTAAAATTTACTCTGCTTGATATTAATACAGCTACTACAGATTTCTTTTAATTAGTGTTAGCATATTTATATATGTTTTTCTGTCATTTACTTTTAACTTATTTAGTCTTTATATTTAATTTTTTTTGCCTCATAATGAGACTATTCAGGCCACATTCATTTAATGTAATAATTGATATGTATAGGTTTGAGTTTAAATGTTCCGTTGTGCTATTTTTTTTCTATTTGTCCTATCTATTCTGTTATCTTTCTCCTCATGTTCTGCCTTCTATTGAATTGAGTATTTTTTTTATGATTTCATCCTATATTTTGTGTTGCATTATTAACCTTGGGATTTACAGTATATATCTTTGATTTATCACAATTTATCTGCAAGTGATAGGGTACCAAATCACATATAGTTGAAGAATCTAACAACAGTATACTTACATTTTTTTCCCTTCCTGGCCTTTGTGCTATGTCATACATTTAGCTTCTACATATGTTATAAGCCCCACAACAATTTATTATTTTCCTTTTAATCATCAATTATATTTTCAAGATTTAAAAAATAAAAGTTTTTCATATTTACCCACATGGTAAACCATTTCTGGTACTCCTCTTTTCTTTGTGTAGATCCACCTTTTTATCTGGTGTCATTTTCCTTCTGTTGAAGGACTTTCTTTAACATTTCTTGTAGTGGAATTCTTCTAGTGATAAACGATTTTAGTTTGTATGTCTGAAAAAGTCTTCATCTTTGCTTTCATTTTTTAAGACTTTTTTCACTAATATGGAATTCTAATTTGATAGTTTTCCCTTAGAACTTCAAACATATTGTTTCATTGTCTTCTGGCTTGCTTATATTTCTGATGAGAAATGTGCTGTCATTTCTACCTCTGTTTCTCTGTACATAATGTATGTTTTTCTGATTGCTTTTAAGATTTTCTGTTTATCACTAGTTGTAAGCAATTTGAATATGCCGTGTCTTATTGTAAAATTATGTTTCTTGTGCTTAAGTTTTGTTAATATTTTTGGATCTATGAGTTTATAGTTTTCATCAAATTTAGAAAATTTTTGTACATTATTTTTTTAAATATTATTTTCTTTTTCTTCTCCTCTTCTGGACTCCAATTATATTAGTGTAGACTGCTTGAGGTTCTACAGCTCACTGATGATTTTTTTTATTTAAAAATATTTTTAGTTTTTGTGTTTTATTTATATAGTTTCAATTGCTATATCTTTACATTTACTAATTTTTTCCCTGTGTAATGTACAAACTGATGTTCATCCAACCTGTGGATTTTTCATTCGAGACATTTTAGTTTTCATTTGTGGAAGTTTAGTTTGGGTCTTTTAAATTTTTTCCATTTCTCTACTTAACATTGAATCTTTCTTCTAGATTCTCAAGCATATGAAATATAATCAAAAGTGTTTTAACATATTTGTCTACCAATTCTTTTATCTCTGTCATTTCTGGGTCATTTTTTATTAATTTTTCTCATTATGTGTTCTATTTTTCTGCTTATTTGGATGTTTAATAATTTTTGATCTAATGCCCGACATGAGTTTTACCTCATGTTGGGTATTTTTATATCCCATACAAAACTCCTCTTGATACTTAACCAGTGGCCTGTGAATTATGAAGTTTTCCACTCTGATTGGAGGAAATAGGCAACATGTTTGGCCCTATGTGAGCTACTGTTGTTACCTTTAATATTTGGGGGCAGTTTTCTCTGTCCTCAGGTAGTTTCCTCATGTGCATGTGTCAGTCAGTACTCTGTTGAATAGTCTGAAGATCTTTGGTGTTCTTGCTCTGTGCATTCTTTTCTACTCTTTCCTGTGAACTCAAGCTGCTGTGGCTTCCCCAGAGTTTCAGTTTATCTCATCTCAGGGAGACTGATTCACTTCACTTGGGTTTACTCTCTGAGCTGTTTCCTGGAAATTCTAGGCAACAAGCTGGGGCAGTTGTAGGGCTCATCTTACTTGCTTTTTGTCTCTCAGAGATCTTTATCCCACATTGCCTGATATCCAGTGTCTGTAAAACTGTTGCATCGTATTTTTTGCACAGTATTTTAGTTGTTTTAGGTGGGAAGGTAAATATGACCCCTGTGACTCTAGTATGGTCCAAAGTAGAATTCCTTGATTTATTATTACATACACTTTGAAGACACTAGGCATTTTGAAAATTAGTTTGTCTAGAACCTCTAACATTGTTTCATGTCTTTGTAGATTATGTTAATGGTTCTGATATAGCACATATTTCAACATACTTTTTTTATAGTGCAATCTTTTTTTTTTAATCCTTATCTGAGAATATTTTCCCATTGATTTTTTTAGATAGAGTGGGAGGGAGGGAGAGAGAAATAGTGATGTGAGAGTGACACATTGACCTGCACAACCCTGACTGGGGCCAGGGATCAAACCCATGACTCTTCGGTCCTCGGGCCTATGCTCCAACCTCTGAGCCAAATCAGCCAGGGCCAGTGTAATCTTTTCAATGAAAATTTGAATGCTCTACAGAGATATACAAGAATCAATGTTATTTTTGTTTTGTTAAAATCTTTGAAGTTCTAACAAGCATAGGTAGTTCTTGGTAAACTGAATTAAAATTTATATGTATTTTATCCTAGGTCTTCATCCTCCAGGTCCACCTTTAGCAAGACCCATTCTCCCCCGAGAACGAGGTGCTTTGGATAGAATTGTTGAATATTTAGTTGGTGATGGTCCACAAAACAGGTAATGTTTACTTGCGTGCTAAACAAATAAAAATGAAAAAACAGTTTATTGATCATGGTGTATATGTTGTGTGTGCACGCACTAGATTTCTATAGTTTTGTGACTCCTGTTTCCTTATTTTAAAACACGAGAGAGTATTTTAAGCCCCGCAAAAGAGTACATATTCAATTGTTTTTTTTTTCAGCAGGAGTTTGAATAAAATATATATATATATGAAAGTATATATATTTTTCTATATTTTATCTAAATATTTGATACACACCATCCACATATCACAGAAAAAATATTACAGCTCTACTATATTATAATCCTACTCTAAGGTTATTTTTAGAGAAATTGATTCATTTCAATAAAACTTTTAAACTTGAAGAGCATACAGATAATGAAAACTTGGTAGGTTGTAAGAAATGGATTTTTATAGATGTCATTACTGGACTTGGTGATGATGATAATTTTAATAACAATGAGGACAATTCACATGTATTGACACTTAATTTTCAAAATGTTCTTTCAATTATTATCTTATTTGATTCTTACAATAATCCTAGGAAGATAGGTATTTTGTGAATGAAACTATTGTCATAGTATAGACAACATATTTTTTTAGGATAGTAGAGTAGATTTTGACAAGGCTATTGGTTAATATTATAAATTTAATAAAGGGACTAGAATTTAAAGTTTGTATAATAAATTGTATGTTATTCAAAACAGAATGTCATTTAATAGGGCCAAATATTTTGTTAAGAACACACACATAGAATAGAATGAGTCTATAAATAGAAAGTGAGGAAGATGTTTAAGTGTAACTGGGATAAATATAGGAATTATAATGGACAGAAATTAACCTTTGGACTGAACTAAACAAAATTAATTTATTTACTATAAGACTTCTCATTGTGAATCTCTAAGAGGTTCCATCTTTTCCAGTCTTATCTGACCACACACTTGGGGTCTATCATCCCCAGTAATATATTTTAGGAAATACTTAAGTGTTCTATTACCAAATGTTCCTGCTAACTTAATAAAGATATGTTCATTTGAATGTTGCTTAGTTTTTTAAAAATGTGCTGGATATATTATATTTTAAAAAGGTTGAAATTTTGGCTGTGTTTAAAGAGTGTTATTTATTGTTTATTAAGAACATCTAATCTGCTATGACATATTTAGCTATGTTAAAATATAAATTAGCCCTGATAGCTAAAGTAGCCTCTCCCATGGGCTTTGTAGGCATTTGTAACTAGTCTTGTTTATTTTTCCTTTTGGTATAGGTATGCCCTTATATGTCAGCAGTGTTTTTCCCATAATGGCATGGCGTTGAAAGAAGAATTTGAATACATTGGTAAGAAGTATTAGGCAGTTAGATGTAAATATTTTACTCTCAAATATTTCATTCTATGCCAGTTCCCATGTAATGCCATTTTATTTTTGCTACTGTTTCTGTGTATATCGTCAGGCATAATATCCTTATTTTAGAATACAGAACAAAGCAGGAAAGACAACTTAGATTTTTCTCATAACAATGTACAATCTCTAGGCCAGCCGTTCTCAAACTTCACTGTGCATCAGAATAACCTGAATAGCTTTTAAAAATTGTGATACCCAGGGCCCACCTACAAAAAGTCTGCTTTAATTGATCTGGGGTGGGGTTCTAGGCATCAGCATGGTTTTAAAGCTCCTCAGATGATTCTCATGGTGTTATCGATGAAAGTAGGGTATCCCTTTCCCCACTGAGTGATAGGGATGGATCCTTATGATAACTCAAGAAAAAGAATTTTCTGAGTCTTACACAGGAGGATGAGTGATTTTTATTTGCATGGAATTACATCTTTGCGTTTCTTAAGTCCTATTTCCTTCAATCCGGTCCTGGAAGAGGTGCAGCTGGGGATTCAGTAGAGCTAAAATTCAGTGGAGTAGTGCCCAGAGTTTCTATTCCATGTTAGAATTGGGTCCGGTTTAGCATCAGGTTTGTTGCAGTCCATTAGTCCATTTTGTATGGGGGCTGGTTGGCTGTGAGCGATGTGGACGAATGCAGGAGCATGAGAGCCCTGCAAGCCAGGAGTCAATCAAGAGGGAGTCAGGAGCCAAGAGAGCGAACTTCTCTGTTTAGGGTATTAAATATCTTAAATCTTCCCACACTTGCAGTAGCCACACCTTCTCTAGCCAATGATCTGTTCCTAGGTGTGACTGAAAGTAAGTACCTTCCCTATTTTACCCAGACTTTATAGGGAATGTGTCTATTCTCCACCCTGTTCACTCCCTTCCCCCAGCTATCTGTGGGGCATAGTCCTGGTGAGTGTTACACTGCAGCTTCCTGGCAAAGCTGCACAAAGGACATGCCTATAATATTTGGGCTTCCCTTTACCTCTTTCCTGTTATTAATAACTAGGTTTATTACAATGGTATCATTGGTAGCCACTATTTAAAACTATTGTGTTAAATTAATTATGTTTCTCAAGTATGACATACTATATTTTCTTGGGCAAATGAGTGAGGTTCTGCGTTTAAAAATACCTAATGGTTTTGGTGACTAGAAATGTAATTTCTATAATACATTTAGGTCACTATTAATATTGTTTTGTTATTAATAACTGCTTTAAAATTAGCATTCATTAGAACACTTGCAATAATATTACTAAAACCATATGTAATTTCATAAGGGATATATAGCTTTTGAAGGGTTGACTATTACAAAAGTAATCTTGAGAGTTATTTGATTAGTCCTTGAGTTTTCTTTGTTTTATGGTTTTGTTTATTTATTTATTTTTAATTCTCTGCAGCTTTTCGATGTGCCTACTGTTTTTTCTTGAACCCTGCAAGAAAAACCAGACCTCAGGCTCCAAGACTTCCAGAATTTAGTTTTGAGAAGAGACAGGCTGTGGAAGGCTCAAGTTCAGTTGGTCCCTTGCCTTCAGGAAGTATGATTTCATCCGAGAACCAGATAAGTGAAGGTATGAATATGTTAATTAAAAAGTTTTGTCTCTAAATAATGTTTGTTATTTAATAATAACAGCATAATGCTTTTATTTTTTGTTTTTATTTATTTTTTGTTAATCCTTACCTGAGGATATTTTTTCATTAATTTCTGGAAAGTGGAAAGGAGGGAGAGGGAGAGAGAGAGAGAGAAACATTGATGTGAGAGAAACACATTGATTGGTTGCCTCCCACACGACCTCAATCAAGTATGGGATCAAACCTGTAACCCAGGCACGCGCCATGGATCAAGAATCAAACCTGCAACCCTTCAGTCTGAGGGCCAGCACTCTAATTGCTGAGCCACCCAGCCAGGGCCAGCATAATGCTTTTAAGTAAGAAAGGATTTATCAGATTTTACAGCATTCATAGATCACCTATTGCTCTGATACAGTAGCCTCCTGTGTCATTGGTAATGATGTATTTTAGTTTTAAAATACAGGTTATATCTTATTAAGCAACATCCAGCAGTAGCTAGGTAAACATTGTTTATGAAGTAACCTCTTCTAATAACCATTGAAAGGTTTGATTAGTAATATTTTTATAGAATAATTTTTTAAATTTATTTAAGTGAAGCAGATTATGAGAATTATGAAACAACTATAAGGGTAAAATTCTTACAAAATTTGTAATTAAACATTGATAAAATAGGTTTGTACTTGCAACTTAAATTACTAGAAGTTACCAGAAAGCAGAAAACTTTGGAATTGGAAAGTCATCCTTGCATCCTTTAGATGACTATGTTGATAGGATTGGTGTTCCTTTGAAACAAACAATTTATCTTGGGCCATGAGACTGACATGGCTGGCACATACCTTATTTTAGAGAAATAAAATTTATCAGAATTCATTGGGTTTTAGACCTTACTTTGCAGTTCTATTTTAGGAATTCTTGAGGAAGTTTTATGAAAAAATAGAAAAAATGAGTTGGAAGTTCTGACTATTAAATGCCAACTATTTCTTGCTGTTAATATGAAGTGAGGAGCTGTTTGTTAAGAAGCTCTGAATTATGAAGATTGCTAAAATTATGACACAGGCCATGATATTTTGGTGCTATGCCTGATATAGAAAAAAAAAATCCATATTGGAATTTTAGTTCACATAGTTTATTTAGCAATCAATAGTCATCCTTTTAATTTCTAGTAATTATCATTTACATGTATTTGATTTCTTCTTTATAAAAGCATTTAGTAGGGGAAAATTGCTGTAACTGAGAACGAGTCAGTGAATTTTCAGATATCAGAAGTATTTTATGAAAATTTGTGTGTCTTTTATTTTAACTTGGAAGAATAAAATAACCTGTGTTGACTGGGGCTTGGCTTTGGCTTAATAACAAATACCAAAATGAATTGGAATACAGATAGCCATGACAAGAGGCTTGTATACTTCCAAAAATGAGTCGGTGCATTCGTCTTCTCCAAGTCTGCAACATCAACTTCAGACACAATATCAGATCTTTTCTTTTGCTTAAGTTGTGCTCAGAGCTGCATGCTGTCACACGCAAATCATCTACCTTGCCATCGCGGCGTCTTGGAACTGAAAAATGAAAGAATTTCTTACTGAAGATGCCTAGAGGAAAAAGTGAAGTCCTTTCCATGAGTAACCTTGCTTAGGAAAACTAAAGTGAATATTTGAAAGCCAATAGTTGGGACAAAAAGAAAAAGAAAAATCAGCCTACAAAATAAAAACCTTGATAATGAATCTAGTGCTTTATATCTTCTGCTAAGGTCAACATGGATAGTTAGCAAACAACACCCAGCTATACCTTTCCTTCTCATCTAATCTAGGAGGAGCAGTACCCCAGATGTCTCATGTTCTGTCAGAAATCTCCGGAATGAAGTCTAACTGGCTCATATTCAACCCTGATAAGGTAATATTAATAGGTGAAGACAAAATTTGAGGCAGGGTCTGATAACTTCGTAGTGCTAGAAACTGAAGCAACACTTGCACTTCATTAAGATAATCTTTAGGGTATAACTTTTTCATACTTCTCTTTGGATTCAGTAAAATGGCTATGAGCACCTTTTACTTCTTTGGCTTTCCAGAAGACTGAACTTTTCTCCAAGACTCCTGTCTCAACACTGTGATGCACAGTTATCAGTTCTAAGCTGGATTCCTTTAATAAACTACTGAAAGTATTTCTGATGAACAGAAAAACTGCATTTGTTTTGAACATCGGAGGCATATCTTTATAATTAAGTTGAACTATTAATCATCTACTTACTCTCTGTGCTGACAGCCAATTGACGGCTTAGATTCTGATTTCTACATTCTTGATGTAAGAAACTTAGGATCTGAAAAAAAAAAGTTCCTGCTATAATTTTTATATTTTTAAGTATTGAAATAACTCCTTGATAGCAGTAAAAGCTGTAGGAATTAGGTTATTGAATTTACAGATGGAATGAAAAGGTAACTTTCTTCCATCTGAATTTTTCTTTCAATAAATATTTAAAACCATTTATCTGAATAAATTTTTAACAAGACACCTTTTAAAAAATCTATGATGTGAGACTTTGAAATTAAGTTTTTTTCTTGATTCTGCTACCAGAAGATTCTGTATTTAGGATGACGCACAAGGCTTTTGAAATTCTTGGACCACTCTTTATAACAACATATGAAACCTTGGAAAGTTTTCATCAAAGATGGAGACCTAGAAGAAATTTCTCCCATTAATAGCTCATTTGAATTCCTAGGTTTTTTTTTTCTAGAATTGTGTATAGAAAATGCTTTGGGCCCTGTCCGGTTTTGCTCAATGTTTAGAGCGTCGGCCTGCGGTCCAGAGAGACCCGGGTTCAGTTACCGCTAAGGGCACATTCCTCGGTTGCAGTTTGTCCCCGGCCCTGGTTGGTTGTGCAGGAGACAGCCACTTGATGTGTCCCTTGCACGTCGATGTTTCTCTTTCTCTCTCTCTTCCTCTCCCTCCTTCCCACTCTATCTGAACAAGAAATGGAAAAATGTCCTCGGATGAGGATAAAAAAAAAAAGAAAATGCTTTGGTAATAGAGTGTTAGAGAAAAACAAAAAATAAGGACAATGGGTTGTTTTTGTGTCTAAGAACATACTAGATGTGGTATGCCAAAGTAATGAACTGCTTTTGGTTCCTCGGTTTCTTTTATGGTTAAATGAATAGTACAGTAATATTTGATCTGCTAAGCCACAAAGTAGTTTGTCATTTTGCCTTAAAAAAAAAATGCATTCCAAAATACCTGATATATAGATTTTTTTTTTTAAAGATATGGTAAGAGAGTATGAGGTTTCTACATTGTTAGTATACTAGTCCAGTGATTTTAATCTAGTATGTTTGAAAAACATTAACATTATTGTTTTATTGCTCAGTTGTATTTGTCTAGATTTTATATAATTATTTTAGGAGAAAATAGCTTTTATTAAACTGGAAATAAGTTGCTAATAATGAAACTCATGACGTCTAATCAATACTATCAAAAATAACAAGTAAAATTTATATAAAGTGAAATTTATCTTGGTAATTATATTTTTGCTCTTTCCTTCCTTTTTTTTTAATCCTCACCAGAGGACATTTTTCCATTTTTTTTGTTGTTCAGGTAGAGTGGGAGGGAGAGAGAGGAACAGAGAGAGAGAGAGAGAAACATCGATGTGAAAGGAACACATCGAGTGGCTGCCACCCGCACAACCGACCAGGGCCGGGGACAAACTGCAACCAAGGTACGCGCCCTTAGCGGGAACCGAACCCGGGTCTCTCAGGACCGCAGGCCGACGCTCTAACCACTGAGCCAAACCGGCCAGGGCCCCTTCCTTTCTTTTAAGCAGTATACTTGTTACTATTAGATTATATTGAACTACGGAAAATTCTACTTGTAGTATTGTTTGTTATGATGCCCATAAATTTTGTTGAATTCTGTATATTTACTAGATCTGAAATGCATACACCTTTATATATATTTAATTATGTACAGATTACTCAAGAGGTAAACTAAACTGTAGTCTGTTTTTGCATACTTATTTTAGACATAGAGATCTTTTGACCTTCAGAAATACCTTCACCAAATAGTTTTTATATCATTGCTTAATAATGACATTCTTACTCATCTAATGGATTTGTTCACCAATGGTAAATAAACAGTATTCTGTGTAGTGAATGTGAGCTATTTTCTCCTCCATGGTTATTATTTAATATAAATTTATTCATTGAGCCACTGGGTTGAGTTTGAGGTAAAATTCATGTCTTTGTACCTTAAAATAAATTGACTGTTTTTCTAAGACAGAAAAATTTTGTAAAAACTTTTTTGTTTAAAACCTGTAAGTTCAAAGACAAATTGTCTATTTTAATTTAACAGATTTCCTTTGGGAAAGTTTTATAGTCTAAGTGAGTACTGATGTGTTTTCAAGGCAGATTTTTGTTGTTGTTATAAAAAGGAATAAAATGTAAAGAATCTAAATGAATTTACTAAAATAGAAGGGGTTTTTAAAGGCATAATCTAAATACAATGCATTTTTCTGTGAAAATTATATATTTTCTTCAGAATTATATAACATTGTTTTACTAGACTATTCTTTAATTCTCTTTGAAAATTATTATCTCTAAAATACTAGAGTAAAAATCTAAAGGTAAGTTGATGTTCTTATAAGTTTTTGCATGTATGTGGTTTATTGGTGAGGCAGTGGTATTAGTTTTACACTGTTTTATGATTTTGAGTTGTCCAGTTGAGGCTTTTCCCAGACAACTGTAAGTCAATTTTTACAATTTGGTAGAAAAAATTTCTTTCTTAAGATTATTGGGGTGGGAGAAGGGAGGTGGTAGGAGTGGGAAAGAAACAAATTTTATGGGTCATTTTTATATTATCACATTGCAATATATTGTTTTCATGCCAAAGTTGATTTTTTCTTTTTTTAAATTCTCACTCGAGGACATGCTTAGAGAGAGGAAGGGGGGGAGAGAAAGAAATATCCATGAGTTAGTTGCCTTCCGTATGTTCCCTGATGGGATCACACCAGCAACCCAGATATATAGGAATTGAATCGGCAACCTTTTGGTGCCAGGGGCGACATGACGCTCAGCCAACTGAGCCACTGCAGCTGGGCAAAAGTTGATTTTTAAAATGTTCTTAAAGATGGAATTAGATCATTCAGGAATTTTGTTTCATTTTTAGTCTAAACAGGTGTGACCCTGAAGGCTGGTTTCTCTTTTAGTATTTTATGTCCAAATATTGACATCTTCTCATTAAATTACAACTTCACAGAAAAAATTTATTAGAGTAGGCAAATGATACTATCTCATAGACATAAAGTAAGTACCTTTAGAATACACTTAGTATTATAAAGCTCTATGGTTTAGTTATTAAACTGGTATTTGTTCTTGCACACCTAGTTCACTTAAATTTTGTTTGGATGACTTCTCACAAAATAACATTGGCATCCAAGCATTGAATATTTATGTCATTTAGACTAGCCGATACCTGTATTATTGGCATCATGGCACATGCCAGTTTTTTTGTAGTATTATTGCTATTAAAATCACTTTTCTGCAAATTAACCTGAGAGAAGAAAAGTAGTCATTAATAGGCTTTTTGATTATTTTTAAGTATTACCTATCATTTTACCAGTTTTTATTCTTCCATATAGTCTCTGAAATACAACACAGTATTGATGATCAAGCTTTGTATATGGTGTCGTTTTCTAATTATAAGAGCACATCCACCTTTATAGACATTTAACTTTTTAAGTATGGTAATTCTGCTCTTTGTATTAACTGCTCTTTTAAAATCTAAGAATTTAAAATTAAATGAATTTGAGTAGCGATGTGTTGCTGAAAATAGTTCTGTCACAGAGCTTTAATATGATAAACCATTAACTTGGATACCTCTCCTGTTCAGTACAGAGGTAGTGTGTCTGACAGAATATGACAAACTCTGTGTGCCTGTATTCACTCAAACACATTTACTGGCGAGTTAAGTCATGAATTCTGAGCTTTTTATTTATTTACTTTTTTCATTTTGTTTGGCTTTATTGGTTTGTTTCAGAAGGCTTACTAAAGTATAACAAATTGTAAAGTTTTTGGCAAGTAAATTGCTCAATGGCCAGAGAGTTATGGAAAATCACGACTTAAAATTCTATCCTGGATAAATTTTATGAGGGTAGAGTCACAAACGCTTGGTGACTCCTGAAGCTTTCTACTGAAGAACTTACTTGCCAGTGTAGCAGAAATAATCTGTACATGTTCATAGAATTTCATTGGCACTTTCTGCTTTTCCTTTGTGCACTGAACATTCATTCAAATAACAAACTCAAATGATCTATGGCTTTTTACCTTGGATTTTTGTAAGATTTGAAGTGATATAGAAATGCCATTTTAAGTTCCTTTTGAGATAAAAATAGCATTTTTGTGACATTTGACACAATGTGATTCGAGAACCATTCCTTACTACTTTTTGTGATTATGTGAAATTTTTATACAGTAAAACAAACCTCATTAATTCTGATGTTCCTAACTGTATAATTATGGCTCTTCATCCCATATATAAAAATTGGAAAAAGTTTGCAATTAATTCTGTAAACTAGAGTCTAAAATATCTGTTTATAGAAATAATTCTTTTAAAATATTATTAGTTTTGGCATAGAGTGTATGAGATATAATTTGTATTATTAAAACTGATATGGTAAACCTACAAATTTATAAAACTTCCATGTTAATGTGTGTGTGTATATATAGCATATAATTTATTTGTAAAACAGTTACATTTATTTAGCACAACATACATGTGCACACACATTCACACATACTTTATAAGGAACGAAACTAGAACTTTGTACTAATGTAGATTGGCCTTTCCTGCAGAAATTTTGACTCAATAATGTTTATAATATATCATAAGGGATCTTCTGTGAGGGTAGGAAAATCTGCTTATTTGTTTAGATGATGTGGTTTAACCATATTTTCCTAGCAAGAATATTAGTTGCTGTTTATTATAAAAATAAGACTGCTCCTGTCATTCCCTCCTCCATCCCATTCTTTAAATGTTAAAGAATTATAGGGACTTTATCAAATAAAATTGTTATTATTATTAAATTATTAAGAGGTTTGAATTTAATAAAAATAAAAAGAGAATTTAAAGGGAACACATTTTCAAGTAGGAAACAAGACCTTTAATTAGTTTCTGTTATAGAGGCAGGGACAAAAGACCCTTCCCTTTCTCTCCTTACCATTCTAGGTATGTAGAGTATTCTGATCCAGAGTTTTAAATCCTGAGGATTTGTCTTGCACAGAGGGATGAGGGGAGACTTGTCATGTCTTTGGAAAAGGTAGATCCTGACCTTATGTCCTTGGATAATAGAGATGAAAATCAGTGTGGGAAATAGCACCACCTAAATACATGCACAGGTACATATTTACACATTGCTCACAGGGTTGCCTAGGCAGAAGGGAGACAGTTTCTTCAGGAAACATAATCTGAGAGTTAATACATTTGCTTTGTTTGTCGGACTGTTGTCTTATAGCACATAATTCTATTGGGGCTTGGTTTGATCATTCAACTTTCAAATGCATCGTTAGGAAAATTCCTAAATATTATGAAAGTTTCTAAATTTTATGAAAATATGGGGCTTTAGATACAAGGATGTTTATGGATTTGTTTCCCACAAATTGGTTTTTTTCTTCTTTCATACTAATTTATATACCTTATTTAGCAATTTTAACATTTGGATATTCCTGAAGTCTTGACTTTTTTGTCTTTTCAGAATCTTTAGAAGAAAAAGATGCTTCTGATAACACTACAGAGCAGACAGAGGACAAAATAACAGATACAGAGCAGACAAACGAAGTGATTGAAAAAGCATCTGACACAGAGGAACTAGAGGAGAAGCAAGAAGAGACTGAGAAGGAGGAAACCTCAATGAATGAAGCCAAATTAACAGTTCCCGGAGCTGATTGTATTACTGATTCTGTTCCGAATCCTGAACTAAGTGGAGAATCTTTGATGACAATGTAGTAAATGCTTCCACGTGCCTTCAACTGGATATATGTAGTTTTGTTGATGTCAGTTATTGCTTTTTATTTGGTGCTTTTTTTTTTTTTCCTCTCTAAAAACATGGCTTGTTATCATTTAAAGTCAGATTGCCTAGCTATTTCAATATGTCAAACTAGGCATTGTATCTACTAGGCATTAAAACTAAAAGCAAGTGATATCAGTAAAGTAAGATCCTTTTGAATGTACAAAGACCCACACAGTTTAGACAGCTTTTAGAATTTCTTTCTGTTCTAAAAGTAAACAAACACGAGAGCATTCTCGTTTTCTATTTGTGTGATCTGTAAATAATATCCATTTTGACATAGGAAGAACTTGGGTTAGGAATAAATTCTAATGGTGTTTGTTTTAAGAAATGAAACTTAATTAAGATTTTTACTACTTCATCATTAAAAACGGATAGAATTTTTACTCTCAAGATATTTGCCAGGGGGAAATGTCTATTTAAGCATTTACATTAAGCAGTATGAAAGTTTTAACTGTAACTATACAGGTACTGGTAGAAGGTCTCAGTAAGAATGCAGTTGAACAGTCAAGTGCAGTGTTTCTTTTTGGTGTCTCTTATTTTGCAGCTCGGCCAAAGGCACATAATGTATATAATTAGTTTATGTTTACATAATAACATATAGGAAATATTTCTGCACTTGACTGTAACTTGAATTCTGAGCATTATTTATACTTGTAAAGTAATGATATTTTAAGTGAATTTTGTGCTGTGTGTATTTTGTTAAGGAAAATAAAGATGATCTGGCAGTAGTTTCTTTTTGTTAAATATCTAGACTTCCTCAGACAGAATCTTGGTGGATGACTTAGCTACCGGAAAAAAATCTTAGTAGGAAGAGTTCACAATACAGTAAAGGTATAGATACTACTGAGGGCATATTATGATGCTTTTATTGGGACTTGTTACCTTTTGAATTCAGAGAAACAGTGACATTTAGAAGTTCTAATCAGAGATTAGGTTTTTATGATTCAGGAAAGCCATATATGCCATTCGTAATTTAAAATTTTGAGAGATGTATAAATTTTGGTTGAGTAGGCAACCAAACATTGATAATTCATTGGATTTAATATGTATATTAAAGATTAACTGGGAAAAAATTTTGACCCAGGATAGTAATTCTTGAACCTTAAATACAGTGTGGTTATCTTTTCTATCTTTTACATCTCTTCTCCATTATTAAAAAATTGAAATCAAGTTATTATGACAAAAGGAAGAATATATAGGAATGGTGTTATATGGCAAATATTTCTAAGTCACAGACAGTTTATTAAAAATTTAATAATATTTGTTACTTAAAATTCATCTTTATGATTTAATATCTAATATCTGATAGGTATTTTTAAAGAACTAAATCTGTTAATAGTCTGAAGTATCATGGTATAGTGACCAGAGTTTTTGAGGTTACAGAACTGGGCTTAAATTCTGGCTCAGCAGTCTTGGACAAGTCACCTGATCTCTCTGAGACTTTTTTTTTTTTTTTTAATTTGTAAAATGGGAAGAGTAATACCTACTTTTTGGGGTATGGGGTTGATTTAAAATAATTTATGTAATGTGCCTACCTCACTGCCTGATAATTAATAGTTATTAAGTAAATAGCTTTTTATATTATTGATATCCTTGTGAAATATGAAAGGGCCATAAATTCTTCCTCTTGAATATAAGGAAATGAAAAAATAATATGAACACATAATTTAGCTGCTCAGAATCAAGCCATTGTCTTCTGCATCAACTTCTATCTATGATGTATATGTATATAAATATATAGATTAAGGAAATAGGAACCTAAGATCATGGAATATAAGCTCTATGGAATATTTTTTTAATGGATTTCATAAGGTTTTAGTAATACCTTGCTGATTCTTTTTGTTATAAAATATTCAAATTCTGATGTTTGTTGCTTGGAAATACCCCAGAGAAATACAATTTAGTGATAGAATCAAGCAAATATTATGAGAAATATCTTTGAAAGAAATATAGAAAGGTAAAAGGGGATCAGTAAAATTAATGTAACAGGTAACATGCTGTAATCATAGTGCCCTTTAAAATAGAAAAGTTTATTCTGATGTTGTAATAAACTGTTAATGGTTGAAAGAGTGGTGAAATGTCCTATTTCTGATTATTAAGGCTATAGTATAAATGAGGAAAAGCAAACAACTAAGTGCTATTAGTTAGAGTGACCTTAACTTCCCTGTTTACATGTTTAACAGGTCATCACCTAAACTTTTCTCACTGTGCCCTGTGTCATCTACAAACATGGTCTGGCTTCTCTCTTTCTATCTCTCCAGTGTTATGAGGCTTTTTCAATGATCTGACCATGCTAACCTCTTTCCTGATTCAGGTCTCAGTTTGAATCCTCCCTCCTCAGAGAGATGCCCTCCCAAACTCACTATCTAAAGTGACCTCTGCTTTTTACTCTATTATGTCCCTTTATCTCTATTATTTCAAATAAAATAAGTATTTTGTTTACTAGTTTACTGTCTATCTTCACAACATAAAGTCTGTGTGTGCAAGGCTCTTACTGATTTACTTCTGTATCTCCAGGGCCTAGCACAGTGCTTGACACATATTTATTATGTGAATGAATAATCTGTTGCTAGATGCAGTGAAAATGCTCAGTCCTTATTTCATTGCTTTGCAGTATTGACATTGCTGAGCACTCCCTTCTGTTTGAAACACTTTTTTTCTTTTGGATTGAGTTCTCACACTATTCTCTTATTTCTCAGGCTCTCCTTTCTCAGTGTCTTCTGCAGGCTTCTTTTCCCCTGCCCATCCTTTAAATGTTACTGTTCTATAGCTTCTTCCTAATGTTGGCATTTCTTCATTCTATGTATCCTTTGGCAGTTCTCATCAGCCTCTGTGGGTTTAATTACCATCTGTTGCTCTGATGCTCAGACCTCCAGCCTTGACCTGTTTCCTTCACATCAGAGTACTGTATTCACCTGCCCACTGGAATGTTTCTCACAATCAATATATTAAAAAATAAACACTAATTTCTCCTACAAACTTTCAAACCACCTGTGTTTCTCATCTCATTGAATGAAGCCATTATTCAAGCTGGAAACTGGAGTGTCTAATTCCTTTCCCCTTTGGCTTGTATTTCTGTCTCCTGTTTTCTAGTTAATATTCTCATTTCTCTGTCCCACTAATGATACATTAATAATAAACATTTGTATTCTTACTCTGTGCCAGGCAACATACTGTTTATGTGTATTATTTTATTCCTTAACAACAACCCTGTGAAGATTTTTATCTCTATAGAAGAGAAAACTGAGGTGTAGAAAGAGTAAGCAACTTGGTAAGAGGAAAGTCTGGGATTTGAATGCAGGCAAATGACTTAAGAAGTCTTGCTGTTAATTACTGTTGTACTGCCTTCTAATTCAGGCCTTCATCTTGAAACTGTCTCTCAACTGGTTTTTCTGTCTCTATTCTTGGCCCTTGTTATATTTTGTGCACTGTGAATGAGTTTTCAAAATGAGAAATCGAATCATACCACCACACACCATTGCTTAAAGCCTTTAATGATTCCTCTTTGGTCTTGGGAAGAGGTCTAACTTTACTGATATGGCCTAAAAAGCCTGTGTAATTTTGCTGCTTATTACCCCAGGCATTTCTTACCACACCTACTGCCACTGCCGCTGTCACTGTCCCCTCCCCCACATGCACTTATTTTTTAAAATATATGTTTATTGATTTTAGAAAGAGAGGAAAAGAGAGGGAGAGATAGAAACATCGATGAGAGAGAACATCGATTGGCCACCTCCTGCATGCCTCTATACTTATTTTTTAGACTCGACAATATTACAATCCCCCACCTCCCTGTGCTCTTCCTCTGCCTGCAGTAGTCTTACACTCATAGACACAGGCACGCTCAGTAAATAGTCGGTAACTTGAACTAGTTCCAGTTAGAACCCACGTTTGGAAACTTTGCTAGTTGTTAAGTTATGCCTTTTATGATTAAAATTGAACTTTTTCATTTTATACATTAGATAAAATCACTATTGGTATGGAGAATATAACTGAATCTGAGCACTATAGCTGAGAGAGAGAGAGAGACAGAGGTGAAATTTTTATTATCTAATTATATTCATTAAATACTGTAAGCTAAGTGTCAGAAAACTAAATGCCTTTTGGTCATAGGAATAACTAGCATGTCAGTGAAGCCAGAACTCAGATCTCAACTCTCAATGCAGGACGCTTTCTTTATGATGAAACACCAATTTTATGCTGCTAATCAATATTGGTGTTAGAGTTTAAGATTACTTTAAAAATGTAACATGTTTACTTCTATTTCCAGCTGAGGAAACTACTTAACTCTCTCTTAAAACTCTTTTCTTAATTTTTTTAATAATATTACTTTACAATATCACTCTCCAATATTACCTGCTGGATTGTGTGCAAATCAGTTAAAGGGTCATAGAATGGCGATAACATATGGAATTATGGGTAGATTTGGAAACAATGGAGAACATAGCTGCCTTAGAAAATTGGAAGAAAATGTACTGTTATTATCTAGGATAACAAATTCATTGTAAAAATTATATGAGATTTAGATATAATTGATGAGCTTTTAAAAATAATTCAAGTACTTATGTAAAGATGAAGCAAGACAGAGATGGTTGTGAATCGATGGTTTGCTGAATCTTAAAGTTTGTAATTTGACTTTTTTCAAAATTATTAGATCTAAATATGTTAACTCTGCCCGGTTAATAAGTGAATATATTCAGGCTCTGAATTTAGGTAGATAAATATAGAAAATTACTTTTATAAGACTATAAACATAAAAGTAAAATTTAAACGAGTACAGAATTAAAACCTTATTAAATTGCATCAGCCTTTAAACTATTGTCTCAGTCTATTTTCTTTCCTTCTCAGAAATTAATCTACATTTTTTACTTTAATACTATTTTAAAATGCCATTTTAGAAAGTGGTACATTTACTGGATAATAGGTGTCCCCCTCAATTAATTGCCCTTTATGAGTTTGCCTTGGTGTGAAACTTAGATGTCATTTAATTTCCGTTCTTTCCCCTCCAGAGGTTCTGTTGTG